AAAAGGTTTATTTCTGATACTGAAAGTGATATCAAACAATCTCATTTAATGTTAACAAATTCGCAAATTCTCTGGTCAATAGAATGACCTTGCACGGAAATACATTAAGTCGTTAGGTCGAATGTTGTCTGACGTCTTTCATGCAAATTGTTAGAGCATTAATTTCAAAATGAATTGACTAAATTTTCCGTTAACCTAATTATGACACGGAGCTAACTGCGACTGTGTCTTATGGCCAAGGTATGCTTACTCCTCCATGGCACTGATCCTTCTTTTTAAAGACGTCCATGTTAACTCTGCTTTTATTTCTATTGATGGACAATTGATAATGATCAGTTTTGTTATTTAGCATTTTATTAACGAACTACTCTTACTTATTTTTGACTTACTTCTTCTTTTGGGGCATAGGCCACCAACAAGATTTCTACAGACATCCTTATCTTGTTCAATCTCTGATCTTTCCAGTACAGTTCTTGTTGTTTTCTTTCTGCTTCCATTTCTCTTTTTTCCCATCCTCTTTTTTACGTACACAGCAGGTGTTCAGAACGTCTTCAGAAGGTTTTGTGTGTGTTGGCCATTGTGGTAATCCATGTTTCTGTTGAAACTCTTAATCTTACTAGTGAGGGTTGGAACTTACCGGTAAGCTTCCTAGACTTTTGTCTTCCAATCCTGAACCTCTCTCCCGGTTTACCAGATACCTAATCATTTGATGATCACTACTTCCCTGGGCTCTTCTTCGAGTTTCCTTGCGTCGGAATTAGCAGTGTTCCTTCTAGAGGAAGAACTGTAACGTTACGGTTTTAGATTTGTGTCTGCAACTATTGAAGATTAGCAAATAATTACAATGGTTTCATTTTCACTGCGATTTATCACTTTTTCCGCGAAAATAAACTCATCTGAATACTATTATTAGTTTAAGGAACGTTGAAATGCTTATACAAAATTTATAATTTCTTGCAGCGTGAAATTAAAATTATCGCGATTGGTACTTTTTGAAAAATCTTGAAATTTTAACTTCGTGAAATTAAATTAAATTAATTAAAACGACTTTCGGTATGTTGGTTCTCAGGACTCGATTTTTTTTTTGTTGTTTGCAATTTCAGTTTGCACAATTCTTTTGTTTTTTCTCTCCATTGGCTGTTTTGTATGGTTTTTTTATGGAGCAAGATGTCTGCAAAGTTAAATTCCATTCTTTGTGCCCACAATATCTTTTGAATACGATTTTTTAAATTTCTATTACTGTATTACTGTTTAAAAAAGTCTACCACAGAAAGAATAGAAATACATTTAAAAAAAAAACAATTTATCGAGAGGTATGAATGGTAAAAGCAAATACTAGTAACTGCATCTGAATCCTGTTCTGACAAAAAATAAATGAAATATATATAGATATCGAAAAGTATCAATTAACAATTGAAATTTCCATTCTTATGTCGATACGATATATGCTGTAAGCTTGAAAAAAAAAAGATATCACAGAGTCTGACACATCTGTTTGCATATTTTACTTGAAAAAGACGTTAATGGTAATCTAACAACCAAGCTCTGTGATAAACGTGATGATTTTTACTTTTCTATCGTCAACTTCCCTTACTTATGCAGCAATATACTGGTACCTTCATCACCTGCATACGGATTTTTTCTTTATATCTCAGTTGATTCGATACGCAAGAGCATGCTTTACGTATGAACAATTTCTAAAACAATAAATTATTGATAAACAAGCTGTTGAAACAAGAATATCAGCAGTCTCGTTTAAGGTCATCATTTCGTAAGTTCTATGGTCGATACAATGACCTAATCAGCAAATACAATTTATCATTGAGTCAAATGCTGACTGACGTTTTTCATACTAATTGTTAGGCCATTATTTATACAACGGATTTTCCCATTATTTCCCGATCATGACAAGGAGCACACGACTGGCGTGACTGGTCGGCAGGCGATGCTCACTCCTCCATGGCACCTGATCCCAAATCTGATGTTTTGGAGTTCCGTGTTTGTTCTGCTCCTATTTTGTATTGTTTTATATACTTTGATATTGAATACTGTTCGTTATCTCCATATCATTCATCACCTGCGTACAGAGTTTATGTATCTCAGTTGATTCGATACGCAAGAGCTAGCATGCTCTACGTATGAACAATTTCGAAAACGAAATAAATTATTGACAATCAAGTTGATGCAACAAGAATATCAGCAGTCACGTTTAAAGTCATCATTTCGTAAGTTCTATGGTCGATACAATGACCTTGTCAGCAAATACAATTTATCATTGAGTCAAATGCTGACTGACGTTTTTCTTACTAATTGTTATTCTATTATTTAGACACTGAATTGACGACGGCTTTTCTGTTATTTTTCAATCATGTCAAGGAGCACACGGCTGGTGTGACCAGTCGGCAGGGAATGCTCACTCCTCCATGGCACCTGATCCCATTTCTGATGTTTTGGAGGTCCGTGTTTTTTCTGCTCCTGTTTTGTATTGTTTTATGGACTTTTGATCTTGGATACTGTTTGTTATCTCCGTATGTTTCATCAATGCTAATAAGTCCATTCAAACAAAAAAAAATCAAGAGCAGAACAAACATAGACCTCTCAAACACAAGAGGTGTGATCAGGTGTCAAGGGGGAGTGAACATCCCCTGCCGATCCATCACATCCGCTGTGTTGCGCATCGTCATGTTCGGAAAATAGTGCAAAACTTCATCGACGATTCCGTGTGTAAATTAGTAAAAACAATGTAAAACGTCAGTCTGCATTTGACTTAATGATATATTGTTTCTGCTGACAAGGCCATTGCATCCACTAGAACTAAAAGAAATGATAACTTTAAACGAGACTGTTGATATCCTTGTTTTTTCACTTACCTCGTTTTAGAAATTGTTCATACACAGACCATGATCTAATGTATCGAATCAAATAAGATATGTAAACCCCTTACGTAGGTTATAAAGGTATACATGTATTGCTAAATAAATTAGGGAAGTTAGATAATGCTTGAAAGAGTTAAAGTCGTGATGTTCATTATAAACATTTTTGTCAGATTACCATTAGGGTCTTTTTCTAGTAAACTATCTAAATATGACACAGATGTGTCAGACTCTGTAGTATCTTTTACTTCAAAGTCACTGGGATATATCGTGTCAATATATGCATGAAAATAACAATTGTTACTTGATAATACTTTGTCGATATATCTAAATGTCGAGTTGAAGGCCAGCGTAAGTATCTGCTTCATACGAATACACAAAATAGGTCTGAAAATAACAGGGGAGACATTGGTACCTGCAAGCTCCAACAGATTGTTAGAAAACCTGGTCTAAAAAAACACATAGATATTGTCATTCAGAAACTCAAACATCTTTTTAAAAGTAACTTCATAGTTTTTGTTTGTACAATCAAAAGGTTTTTGATTCACAAATGAGCAATGACAAAGTAAGTAAATTTTATAACCCAACCAGATTAAAACTAAATGCGGTATTTTGCATATTTTTGTCCTCAGTAAAGTAATATTTTCTTGAAATGTGCTAAATTGTATATATTGTATGGAAAAACAAAATTATCAATTAACAAAAAATATTATATATTTATTGACTGAGTTCAGGGGCAACATGCGTTTTATTAATCGGACCCGATAATCAAACTGTTTGCCGGAGGTCGTTAGGCAGACAGATTAGTTCGAGGGTCGAATTTACATATTTTCCCCGAGAACACAGTCAATAAATGTTTTGTTATTCCTTTCATTTAATTTAATTTTTTGACATACATGTATTTTGTACTGTCTTCCTGATGTATTATCAGGTCCATCACTTTTGAACACCAACGAATGAAAATGAAATTAATCTCCGCTCATTCTGTGACGTAAGCAGTTCAACATCTCACCGGCCGGTCCAACCACTCCACGGTCAAACATCGACTTTTTTTTATGCCCGCTCAGCAAAACATGAGAAATATTAGACTTTTTTCGTATAGATTTGTATAAGAACAAATTTTAAAGGTATAACAATATAGTTTCAAAGTAGGTTATTGACAATATTTGTTTTTATGACGGCACAAATTATTCGGATTTTTGTATGAATTTTTAGTAATAGGAATCAAATAAATATACAAAATTAATTTTGCTCATATTTTTACAAAAAAAAAGGAGAGAGAGAGAGAGAGAGAGAGAGAGAGAGAGAGAGAGAGAGAGAGAGAGAGAGAGAGAGAGAGAGAGAGAGAGAGAGAGAGAGAGAGAGAGAGAGAGAGAGAGAGAGAGAGAGAGCGCAGCTAGGTCTACTGAAGAACAGTATTTCATTGATATTATCATTCTATATATATATAACAAAATATTGAAGTTCAGCAGACCTGTGCTCGGTGACTATTGCTCAAAATGTTGAAGTTATATTCACCATTTTCTGGAGAAATCAGGGAAATTTTAATTAAACTTACGTCATTTCCCTGACGTAATATCAAACGTGACTCCCCATCAAACATATGACTCATGACTTATGAAAATATTCTGTGCTTTGAAGTATGCAGACAATCCACTGTTTTATATTTCTCCGTCAAAGTTTGATTTTGATGGCAAATAGTGACCATTATACCACATAAAGTTCTTTATATTTCAACAGAAGTCGAGATAATTTTCGAAAAATAAATGAGTTGTTTATAAAAACAGGCTCGACCAGAGACGTCTGAAACGATTTACAAGTAATAGCTTGCAGTGGTGGTGTCTGAATATGAGTTAGGTGCCCAGTGGTAAAAATAAAGCAGTAAAGTAGGCCCTAGTGCACCGGGGACCGTTAGACCCGTATACGATACATGTGCCTGTGCTACGGGTATTTCAGCAGGAATACTGTTAGGTTCAGCTGACTTGTCTTACTCATTGATTACCAGGGGTGGTGTAGGGGTTACTTTTTACTGTTAAAAATCTATCCCACTTATGTCTATTTTCAAGCCATTTGAATATTCGCGCCATTATGACGTTAGACTTTAAATAATCCGGGGATTACGCAGGGCTCCTTCTGTCAAAATGGCTGCCGCTTGTGACATTTCCGATTCGCAAGGTGAATATTATTTTGATAAAAGCCATCGATATCTTTAAGTTTTTAATCAATAATATATGAAGTTATGATGAGACTTAATATTTAGTATGATGTTACGGTTTCAAAATATGAAATTTGTCAAAGGCATAACGTTGACGATTTGTCAAGTGTATGGGAGGCCACGCTTCGAAAAATATTTCTTTATTGATCTAAGGGGGTATATAAAAAAAGGATGACAGACGAACTGCGGTCAAAATTAAGATAGGAAGAGTCCGAAGAAGGGATTTTAGGCTAATTGTTTTGGTTATGTCAATCACTGTCCTGAACTAGGCCTATTTTAACTCTAAACATGCCAGAGAAATTAAACAGAAGACGCACCCTGTGATAATAATATTAAGGTCTTTTCACTGCTTTGTGACTCTCATTTGTTGAAATATCCTCAGGTAACAATGAACCAGATGATGGTTAGCCTTGTAGATTTGTAAATACATGAAAGATTATATAACTGATAACGAAATTTCATCTGGATTTCTCTGTGCACGTAGTGTACTGAAATAGTAATGTCTGTAACATATATCACCAATAACATAGCCCTCCTCATTATTTACATGTAACCAAAGGCACTCCCCATCCTATTACATCAACTCAGGTCTGACACAAACGCTTAATTAAGCTGTTTATGTAGAAATAGTCGGACATATCTGACATTTTCCAGGCTTTTTCAGGATTTTGATATTTTGCGTGCTGGGAAAACATCAAAACTCAGGCATCATTACGATAACATGAAACTTTGCTGTCTCCAACTGGAGTTGAATATTTTTATCCTTGCCAAATTTAAAACTCACAATTCAAAAAAAAGCACAATGGTCCTAGTACTCGCCAATATGGATTGATTGATTGTATATTGTTTAACATGTGCCTCTCCAGAATATTTCACTCATATGGAGACACCACCACTTGCCAGTGGAGAGCTGCAAATTTTGTCCTATGTTCGGCACTCAAGGCCATTGAGTAGTGAGGGATTTTTTCATGCCAGCACCTACTGCGACACGGGACCTCGGTTTGTGCGGTCTCATCCGAAGGACCGGTCTCCACGTCCCACTGTGGGATTCGAACCCGCAACGTAAGGATTGACTCCTTACTTCGCGACTCTAGAGCAGACGCTCTAACCACTGCGCCATGCAGGCGACTTGCCAATATGGATAAAAACAAAACATTACTTTACATTTGGTATTTTCAATACATGTCTTTAAAAATATTTTTTTAAAATGCATGATATGAAAAATAATCTCAACAGTCTGATAGTGATAAAATGTTTTCATCAGATTACAGTTTTTTAAATGAATCCAAAAAAAAAAAATTGTTGAATTCTTAAAATATTTTACTATTGATAAGTTGTGAGTTTGACATTTTGATCAGATTGCATTGAAAATCAACCCAAGAATGCTGCCTCCATTCGGAGGTGGTGAATTCCCAGTTTTAGAATGGCGCCGGTTCTGACATTTTCCTGACATGAAAATATAAAAATTGTGAAAAAAAGCCAGGAAATATCAGTTGGAGTAATCTTGAAATAGCAATAAAGATATGTTAAAGTATTCAAAATAGCCTTATTTAGCTTTTTTGTCTTACTTTTTCATAGGTTACATGGTATGTTTATGAAATTTGAAGAACCATATTACATATTATGTATAATAATTTCATTAATTTCTTAATGGTTTTAATTTTTTTTTTACCTTTGTAGCAAAAGAAGTCATATTTATAAAGATTCGATATTCTTGCTATTTAGAGGCAGCTCATAATCAAATTGTTGTCAGTGAGGTACCTCTAGGGGTGTGGACAGTACAGAATGACCAAGTCATCAAAACCACCAGCGCAGGGGAGGAAAAATCGGAGGTCAAGTCGGTCCATGTCGTGGTATCTGTACAACCCGAGGAAAAGAAACCCTCCCGTGGGGAGGGATACCAGGAGAGGAGGTCAGGGAGAATACCCTCCAGGAAAAGGAGTGTCCCATTTAAATTCAGGTACAGTGCACGTCACTATACATGGCAGCTCACATTTCTTAGGATAGTATATGTGTTCTTACTTTTGTGACACACTTGCTCTAATGCCATTGTCGGAAACCCATGGTTGGTTATGCTTCATTCCTCTCTTTGTCATCAGATAGAGAGAGGAATGAAGCGTAATCAGTTGTAGGTTTCCGATGATGCTGTAATGCTCGAAGTCATGATATGACCAAATTCTGAGTATTTCATGGATGTTTGATGATTTTTTTAAACATGTTAAAAGTTAATAATCTTATGAATTTATTGAATTGTTTTATGGAGTGATGATAATCTCTTATTCAGGTAAACAATAAAGCTTTTAAAATAACTGTAGATGCTTCGAACCCAAATTTCATAGGATCCCATGTAATTTTCCTTTTAACAGGGATTACAGAAATCCAGACCTGGTGAACGAGGAGAATGAGGAGGAGGAAGCAGAGGAGAAATTTACACCCGAGGAGGAATTCAGGAATGTGTCCCTGGTCAAGCGGGCGACCACTGCCTCCACAAGGAAACGAGGTTAGAATGAATTGTGTGTTTTTTCTGACACATTTGAAGAATATTTTTAGACCATAGAAGATAATATGTAGTTATTGTTTTTAGGCTACACTCAAACATATTAAATGACCTTGATCAAGTTGGTGTTGGATGACCTGATGACTCATATGTATATTTCAGGAAGGCCAAGAAAACTGCCTATATATGACTCACCAGTGACACAAGAAATAATTTCATTAGGTAAGAAATGGGGGTGCGTATCATTACCGCTACGTTTTCAAAATTTTCATTACCGCTACATAGTCATTACCGCTACAAAAAACCTTACATTACCGCTTCATAAAAAAGTATACATTACCGCTACATTGCCTCTTTCGCTAGCAAGCCACATATGAGTACAGTACAACCTATAAATGCATAAGACCCGTTTTCCCTGCTCACCACGGGGAGGTGAAAGTAGAACTTTGAATAGGATGGGTTTTTTTTACTATTAAAATCAATTTTATTTCATAAAACACAAAAAATTATAATCAAGCACTGTTTCCTAGATAAAATTCTAAGGTTTGTCAAATGGTTTTATACTATCGCTAAAGCCTTGAAAGCCATTTGCTTCACATGTTGTTGTTGTTTTCTAAATTTATAACCATCGATAAGTAAGCCGGCATTCCCTTGATTTGTAACAAACTGTGGTCATAATGTTCATATGACGCTAAATAATTAAATTTCGACTGCAGAGTTATTTATATAAATATACTCATTCTGATTAGATAGTGAATGAATTATGTTGATTAGAACTCATATACCGGACCATACCTGGCTAAATCGATAGGTAGCGTTATTAATGAGTTGTTTTGGGCTGATTTATTATGTAGCGGTAATGAGTTGTTTTTGGCCGGAAAAATGTAGCGGTAATGATGGTCGAAAATCTGAAAAAATGTAGCGGTAATGAGTTGGAATTTTTGGCAATGTAGCGGTAATGTTGACCTCCCAGAAATGGATGGTTAAGAAATTTTCTTGATACTATTTCATTCATGAGACAGTTAACTTGTGAACTTTTATTAAAAAAGAAAGAAGAGTAAACAGGTGAAATTTAAAGAAACATTATGGAGAAAGTTTTTTTTATTATGTTACTTTTGTACAAATGTTTCCATAAAACAGAAATGACTATTTCACGGTGTAGTACCTAAACGGTTGCTATCCGAACAAAATAGCGTTCATTGTTGCTATTCGAAATTTCTACGGCTGCTATCAGAAATAAATATGTTTGAGGCGCTTGGAAGAAGTTGTAAAACTGTGAAATCTAGACCCCAAATCAATGTAGTCATTGAAAAAAATAAGTGCACGGAACAAGTAAGGCATTTCTATAAATGTTGTCATTTGTATTTTGTAGAATAGTCCTCTAATAATTTTGAATTAGTAGAATCTCCGAAGCCCGTATCAAATCTCAAGTCAATACACACCCAGTTTTCATGCCTTTTTTAACTTATCTATTATTTAGATTGTGTTTATTGTGGTATGTGAAGATGCGTCAATATATAATAATACTTACAAATGATTAAAACTATTCAAAAGTGTATTGTGAAAGAGATTTTTGGATGAAACACGATTTTTTAAAGTTACGGTTGCTATCAGAGTCTTAGCATATCCTGCACCGGCTATAAACTGAAAACATCTCATCGGTTGCCATTTGAAAATTACTTTTATTTCTATCAATTAAATATTAAATAAAGCTATGGCAGCAAATGCCTAAAATAGTTAAGTATCCCAAACAGCTTCTAAAATACGATGTCTATTATATATGCAGTGGACTTTAACCAACTTAATTCTGAGACGTAAGTTCGATTTTGAAAGGCGGGAAGTGGGGGGGGTACATATAGATAAAAGAAAATGGAAAATTGTCGAACTTCTTTCAGTTACATTTTTTCAGGCGCTAGCACCTTTTCTTGTTTGATTATACTGCCAAAGGCTTAGCCCCCCCACCTTTTTTGAAAGATAGACTTAGTATAGACATTGAAAATTGCTGCGTAGGTTTAGCCCCCCCCCCCCCTTACTTTCCACAGATACGTTGCAGTATAGGTTTAACATTGGGAAAGTGGTGCTGTTTGGAAAAACAATTTAGGTAATGAAGTTCACCCCACCCCACCCCTACGGGGTTTATTTTGGAGGTCTAAAAAAACTCTTATCGTTAACCCCCCTCTTTTAATTTGCTTCCGACGCCAATGACGCAATAAAAAGGGCGTGTAGGGGATGGGGGTTATGGTTGGAAAAAAGTCAACACCTATTTAATAAACATTTTATGAGTAAAGGTTATGCTTGGAACAAAATGGGGGGGGGGGGTCGACGTTCCTGTTACTCGAACGAATGCATGCAATAATCAAAACATTGACTCCCCTCGCCCTATTAAAATTTTCACGAATTATTAAATTTATATAGGTAAAACAAGACAAGCCCCTGTCCACCCCCCCCCCCCCCCCCCCACCCCATCCAGAAAGAAAGGAGGGTTTTAAGATAGACGGCCTCCACTTCTTTTTTTCAATAAATTCATAATTTTTGGACTTTTGGAGTGTTTGACATACTCATCATTTTTTTTACTTACAGAAAAGTTTCTTAACAAAAAAGAGAGCATACCCCCTTTTTTTCCTTCAATGAACATGAACATCATATGAACATCCTACCTATATAAAATGTTGAAGATAATGTAAGCTCATACCGGTATGTACTTACATTATTGTCTACGTTTTGCTCTTATGTACATTGTGCACTTTACTGCAGGAATCATGAACGTTGGACACTGGTCAAAACTTCATGTGGGATTTATTCATTTTTCAATTTAGATGTTTTTTTTTTTTTTTATCAGATAGAGATTAATAATCTGTAGGTTGTTTGGATAGGTAGACTTAGTAAACATTTCAGAAAAAAGAATATACTAGTAATAGGTTCAATAGTCACATGATTTAATTGCTGACAGTTTTGTAATTCTTTTACTATAGGCGTCGGAACGAATTGAAAAGCGGGGGTAGGGGGTTAACAAATAAAAACATAGATTCGTCCCAATTTTCAATGACTAAATTATGTATACATGTATCTTTGCAAAAAAGTAGGACGGCTAAGCCCCCCCCCCTTTCCGACGCATATATGTATATTATACATGTACATAGAAACTCCACTATTCATATTATACATATAAACATAAGATCGAAAGTAACATGCACAACAAGTAAATAATTTACAAAGAATATATAGAAGGAACATTTAGAATATACATGTGGTTTCCTTCACAGATGTAAATTGGGGATGCGATTTAATAAAATTTGAAAACTTAAACCTTTTCCAATAGTAACCGGTGCTGTTGTCTAATAGTAGCCGTTACATAAGTTTCTTCAAATAAAACGCTCTAGATTTTAAGAAACCCATCAAAGCGGGCGATGTTATAAAATAACCAATAATATTAACAAATACACAACGAACTGTCGATTCATTTTTATCAAAAACCTAAAAATTTTGACGCAGTTTCAATTTATTTCTTACGTGCATGTAAATGTGTCCAACGCTTTCGACAGTTTTCGTCTTATATATCAGCAATCCTTTAATTCATTAAAATTCTAAATAGACATGCTAGTTTTAGAAGGTATGTTGCGTTCCGTAGGGGTGAAATACCAAGCAGCGAAACTTAGATAATTGAATGATTGACCGTTTTGTTGAGCCAGCGAGGAAAAATACTTACAATTTCGTCCATTTTTTTCCACTAGCAACCGCTCAACTTTCGGATAGCAGTAAAGAACGCGTAATTTTTTCTGATAGCAACCGTTTAGGTACTACACCGTGTATTTTACTTGATTATTTGTTTTAGATGCCAATGAAGCTAACAGCCTGGGGGTGGGGAATGAGGAGGTCAGCATTGTGATCATACAGCAGGGGACAGACGGGGAGGATATTATTCTACAGACTGAGGGGGGAGAGGAACTGAGCCTCACAGAGGGGGGACAGGTCGCAAACAGTTCACAGGAGACGGAGCAGAGCACAAACCTACCTCAGCAGGTTAACATGGCCGAAGAAGGAGGGAAAGGAGAGGAAGGCTTAGCTCAGTGTAAAATAGAAAGTGATAGTGAGGGCCAAAAAGAAGGGACAAGTGATACTGATCTCACAGGGAGGGGAGGGGGAGAGGGGGGTGAGGGAGACAGCACAGCAGAACAGGAAAACCAGGGGGAGGAAGGAAGCTCCCTGACTCAGGAGAGAGGACCAGAATCAGGGAGTGAAACCTCTCAGCCTGAAGTCGAGTCAAAGCCAAGGATTGTCTACCTCAATAAGAAACCCCGTCGGAGTGGGAAGAAAAATAACATGGTGGTGGTTTACTCCTGTGGAGTATGCATGAAAAAGTTCTCTTCTAAAGGTATATTATTAATCATTAACATTATCATTCATTAAAATAATTTAATATACTTAATGGCAGAGTAATTTGGGTTAATTTTATGTACTAAATGGTAACAAAAATTGAGATTTTAAAAGTAATCATTGTTGAAGATGTCACTTTATGATGAAACAACTCATTAGTTACAGTTATTTCCCTTTGCAGATCAGTTCTTTGAAATTTTGATTTTGAATGAAATCTTTAATTTTTTTACATTATTAATTGTAGGAAATTTAAAAACACACATGAAGATACATTTAGGAGAGAAGCCTTTCCACTGTAATGTAGAGAACTGCAGTAAGACATTCAGGAGTAACGAGGCTCTTAGAAGACACAAAATGTCACACCTCGGTTTGTATCAAGCTTTAAGACTTGTCAAATAATGGAGTATTGATAATGTATTGCTTATAATGGAAAAACTAAAGGATCAAGGTTTACTTTAGACATGAAATGGTCTTGTCCGTAGAAACTGCAATCATTTTAATTGTGAATAGAGACTTCATGTTTTCTTTACCTGCAAAAAAATATCCTCATCAGGATCTGTATAATGGAGAAGAGGCATTGTCAAAAAGCATTGTCCTGGAATAAAAAACAGATTGAATATTTGAGTTCATGAATTTATTTTAAACATTAACTGATTAGTTATTTAGATTACATACAAAAGAAAAAATTTCTACACATGAAAAAAAAAATGAAACCAGAAGTGAAGTGTCGCTTTTATTTTTATTTCTTCTATATTTCTCTGTTGTCAATGACTGTATATTTTACAGGTATCAAACCATTTGAATGCAGTTTCTGTAAGAACAAGTTCTCCAGTAATGTAAGTCTCCAGGAACACATGTCACGTCACACGGACAGTAAACCTCACCAATGTCACGTATGTCTGCGGAACTTCCGACAGGTCAGCTGTCTACGGCGACATCTCATCACTCACTCCTCCGAGACGCCCTTCGCCTGTACCATATGTGGCCGCAAATTCTCTCAGAATATGTACCTCAGGTCACACATGAAAATGCACACAGGTCAGTGGCAGGGCTCTTATTTCAGGTTTCCGGTGTTTTACCTCAAATTTATCTTTGTTTTGAAATTCTTAAAAACATGAAATGAAGTATATATTGTATTGTGAAGTGGAAAATAGGGAAAATAACCCAGTTGAGTTAGAAATATACTCGTACTTTTAGAACTGGAAATTAGGACCTTTCAAGAATTTCATTTATAGATACTGTTATAACACATATTTTCATGGGATAAATTGTTTAAATTTAAAGGAAAAATATTGGTTTGTGGGGATTTGATTTTATGGTTGGAAAATATTATGTGCTAAATAACTAATGCATATTAAATTTTACATTTCGTGGTGTATATAAATTTGAGGGTCTCTTCATACCATGAAAACAACTAAAATTAACCCCTTATGAAAATTTGTGATTTCACAGTATTCAAAAGCCCCTCGTGACTTCACAGAAATCAACAGCAATATGTATTAATAAACATTTCTAGTACAATCTTAATTTTAACTATTTAAAAAAATTATTCAGATGGGCATGTACATGTTGAGAGTGACTTTATAGGTCTCTTTCTAAATTTTTAATACACTTATGAATAAATGTGTATAAATTTTGCAGATTTTTTTTCGGTGTGAAGGAGAGGGGCCATTTAAATGTCACTTGTGATTAAATGTGTATAAATTAAGCATATTTTTTCTGTGTGTAGGAGAGAGGCCATTCAAATGTAAGCAGTGTGAGAAAGCCTTTGCTCATCAATCTGATCTCAACAGACACAAAATTGTCCACTCAGGTAAGATAAGGTTGAAAGGCAGAAAAACACCTAACTAAATGAGTAATACTCCTGAAAATTTTCCCTAAGATAGATCTATTTCTCAGTTGTTAAAATTGGTCTCGGATGTAAACAGTAAAGAACGGTAATCTCTTTGAACAATTGTTTAGTGATTCGTAGAATGTGGATTTTATATTTTAAAAAAAAATTCTAAAAAATGTTAAGAAAGATGGAAAGAGGGTTGTTTATATATTTATTTTATTTAATAGGAGAAAAGCCATATGAATGTGAGGTGTGTGGCACAAGATTCAGTGACCCTTCCAGTAAAAGACGCCATGAACGTGAACATGTGGGAACCAAACCATATGTATGTCAATTGTGTTACGAGTCATTTAAACGTGCGGGACAATTAAAGGCTCACCTGAGCAGGAAACACCTGCACCAGAAGGATGACGTCCAGGTGATTCGGACCAGTACAGGTGCTCTACAGTTTGTGTTCCCTAACGCTGACCAGTGCATCACCCAGCAAGAAATCGCAGCCTCCATGTCCGGCGATCAACATACCATGATAAAACAAAAAAAGATAGTAAAGTTAATCCAGGACCTGAACTCTTCTATACAGAATGTCCCCATTAACCCTCCTCCGCATGATTATTCTGCCACCGAGACGCCATCCGTGCTCGATGCAGAGAGACAGGAGGAGATGTCTGTAGACTCAGTTATTAATGAAGCACTGGAAAAAAATCAGGGCCTCATTTCCCAGGGGAGGGAACAGCGAGTCCAGACCCTACCTGTATCTACTTTTGATAATTCTCAGATGTCAGAACCTACAGTTGTGACCATTGCAGAGGTGTTGGACAACGGTCACATCCAGACCATTCAGTCCGATGACTGTGTTCCTGTTGAGTATCTTCACATTATTGAAGAGCTAGCTCCAGAGTCCCTGGAGCAGCAGGTTGTGGAGGTCCACTATCAGGATTCAGAACAGAGGCCAGAGCCAGACCAATCCACAGAACAGGTGCTCTCTAAAGAAAGTGAAGAGTCCACGGCAGCAACAGCCTCAGTATCAGATCAGGCTTCAGACACGACATCCATGGATTACGTCAATCATCCAGATTTCAGCAGCCAAGCTTATTATAACTGGCTCTGTAGTTTTACAGAGCTCTGTAAAGTCATGCCAATGCCTTTAGATGTTTCACTATTTCAGAAAATCAGTCAGGTCCACAAACATTTATCTGATGTCATGGCAACACCTTCTGGGGTGGTGGCAGACAAGGAGAATTTTAAAACCCTCATGAACATCTCAAAAGAACTGAATACAATCATTAATGAACATTTATTTTATGTCATGCAAAATCTTGATGCCATGGATGATAAGGAATAATCATAATTTATTTGTTGTTACTGTTTTACAATGTTGCTACAAGTATTTATCTTTCTGTACTTGAGATTAAGGCATTCATGATAATTAGGGTATCAACTTAATGTGTTTTTGCATTGGTCAGGATTTTTGTATTAAACTTTTGAGCTGACATTTTATTACTATGTAATACATATATGTTAGATTTGTCACTGACATTGCTTGTATTTGTTATTTATTTTACAATGTGGCAAAATGAAGGTCATGAAAACATTTACAAATTTCGTGTTTTTTTTCATCATTTACAATTTCAAGAGTGTGATTCCTAATTATGCATGGTGTCTTCACGGTCATATTATACAAAATGTATGTATCTGGTATATTTGACAGACTGACAATAAGAGGTTAACAAAATAATAGTATAATTCCCATAGGAAATGTAATAGTACATAACTCGCTAATATTACAACACAATTCTTCTGATTTGTGAAGAGTGCAAAGATATTACAGCTGCCTTCATATCAGAGAAAAACAGAAAAAACAACTCAAGGCATGTAGGATGAAGCCTGTCTATAAATCTGTATCAACAATAACCCTATATCCACAACATTTGCACTCTAATAAGTTGATCCAAATACCGAGACAAGCAAACATTTCATCATATAAAATTATACTATGCATGTACTCAATTAAGTACATTGTATATCAGCGTAGGCATAAACCACCATATATTGTAGATTATATTTAAGCTATCAGTATTTCAGGGCATATTATTTAAGATAAAACGTTTTTTTTAAAAATTCCTTCAGAAAATCCATTGAGAGAAACTAAAAAAATAAACCCCACTCAAATATGCAGATTAAGACACTCGAGTTCAATAAAAATCAACAAAGTATATCTAACATAGTTGCAGATAATTAGAACATGTCAACAGTTATCACGGGTTTCCACGTCGCCGACTAAGCATTCTTCGGAACTTTCTGAATTTCTGTAGTCTTCGTATCTGTGCGTTTCTTGCTTGTGTCACGTTTGAAGTCACGGAGACCGGCGTGACGGTGCGAGAGTTACATTTTCCATCTTTAATTGAAATATCGTCTATAGATATGTCTCCTAGATAACCACCTGTCGCTATTGCTTCAAACACCAGCTAGCAATGAAAGAAGAAAATATGATGAAGATCGAAAAATAAACACACCTCATAAATACTCTCATACAAAACTGGATTGTAAATATACAGTTACTTATATTGTACCTGTCAAGTATATTGACGTATATTTATTTAAAAAAAAGAAAGAAAAAGATTTCGATTTGAATTGTCTCTTAGTAAACTTTGTAAATGACAATATCGATTCAAGAACAAGGTCTTATCTATTAAAAAATAGTTCCAATATGCTGTTTGATGATGACGAAAGCTTTACGCTTATCCCCCTTAAGCCTACCTGGAACCCCGCTCTGGCCAGATTCTTAGGTATGTCTAGAAGGGCCTGAATCCACACATTTCCTTGGTTACCATATGCTCTCCACGCCGACTCAATGACGTCACCGGTACGTGTCTAGAATGACAAATTTAAAAAATGGAACACAGTAATAATTTTTTACCCATGTTCATTATTAACCGAATTTCTCTAAACTTCATGAAGTAAAAACCAGTCTCGTTGATAAGTGATTTTTGTTTATACAACCTTGCTACACGTTTTCATATGCCAATTTTTTGATTGACAGAAGAACCATCCAACTCAATAAATCACAACTTCCACTAGGAAGACTGCAACCTGCCTGTCTTTCATTTTTCCTTAGTTTTAGATTTGTTTTGGATTTGCTTTGTTCTAACATCAATTCCAGACGATAATTTGTTTTTATTGAATACGAACAGAATAATTATGTTGGCCAGATGTCTCAAAAATCGGTTAGAAACAAGGAAGAAAGGCCGGCAAAAAATCGAATGAAAAAAAAGATTCAAATATTGTGTATGTCTGTACACGTATAAAGGTGAACAAAATTAACTCTGCGAACAATGTAGGACCCTCATTTAGTTTAAATCCAGAAGTTTTGAAATTGACCTATTTGTGAGTTTTCCGTCTTTGATACATCAAAATAATAATTTAAAAAGTGCTAAACGTATGCCATTGGTAATTTACAGTTGATAAAATAAAGGAGATGGATGATCAAGGCGTGCAGAATGCCTGCAGCTTCAGATATTCAATTTGTGAATTTAGAATTTAAAGCAAAGTTTTCATTATTGAAATTATGATTTTAAGAAAGCTTTTCGGAGGGTTTTTTTTTTGCAAACTGTGATTAGGATAAAAGTTCAAATAAATTGAGCAAAGACCCACTCATATAAAAAAGTGTGTTTTAGTATGAGAAAATGAAATTCTTTTTGCCCTCTTAAATGTGTGTATGCTATTTCATAGGTGAATAATTTTAATCTCTGTGAGATTTATGTTGCGGAGATTTTACAAAAAGTACTAGTATACTTTAAAATTAGATGAAATATCAAAGAAAATTTTCTTAAATAGTAATTTAATTTTCACTTTAATGTTTGTCGCACTATACATTCGCTTGCATTGTTCACCCGTCTTCTTTATTAATGGGTAAACATTTTTAATTATTATCATACTTTTAACAATTGTAAACTATACTTCATGGCAAATACGTCCATCTCGATGTGCAAAACACGACTTACATAAAAGACACAGTTTCACCTTTATAGAAGACCATTGCTAGTTGTTAATTATGAATTATAAGGTCTTTTTTGTTTTAACGTTTAGTTTCTTACAACGAATTCGAAAAGCACTGAATGAAATTTGTTTGGTGCGTTTAACAAACAAGTAATCAAGCTAAAAATCAAATGAAACAATACAAATCAGGAGCAGGGTAAACAGACCTCTAAAATGGCGGTTGAACTGGTGCCATTGAGGAGTAAGCATCCCGTTTACCGGCCACACATGTCGTGTGCTTCTTAGGCAAACGGAATATCTGAACACAATTCAACGTGTAAATAATGACGTAACAGTTAGTATGAATAAGGCAGTCAACATTTGACTTGATAGTAAATTGTATGAGGGGTTATAAAAAAATTGGTGGACTAGCTGAGGCGATAAAATTAGTATTATGTAGTAGTCTGTGATTTCAGAATTTATAAGGAGCATAAAACAGTAAAAGTTTAAGGAATGTTGAAATGTTATATTGATACGTTCAATATTATCATTTTTCATTTAATAATCCAGAAGTGATAAAAAAATTATATGGAATACATATTCCATGGCACGCCAAATTCACAAAAAATGAGCTAAACATAGTTTCACAGTCGATAAACTAGGTTTATCGGTTGTAAACTATAGTTTACGGACTGTAAACTATAGTTAACAAAGTTAATCTATATTTCATATCCATAAACCATAGTTAACGCGATAATCTATGTTTCACAATCGTAAACTATACTTAACACTGAAAACAATCATTTGCGATTGCAAAACATAGATTATCTGATAAATACAGTTTCACGATTTGTAAACTATACTTTACAAACCGTTAACTATAGTTAACGATCTGATAAATATAGCTTCACGATTTGTGAAAATCTGATTAACAACTCTTAACTATAGTTTACGATTGTAAACTATAGTTTACAAACGTGAATCTATGTTTATCAACAAAATCTATTGTTAACGCTTATTACAGACAGATAAACTTAGATTATCATTCGTAAACTATAGTTAACAACCGTTAAATATAGTATTACAGATGAAAACTATACTTAACGAATCGTTAACTATAGTTTACGGTTTGTAAACTATAGTTTACAGTCGATAAACCTAGTTTATCAAATGTGAAACTAGGTTTATCTCATTTTTGTGAATTTGGCGTGCCATAATTATCAGTACGTACTGGTCCCTGCTGACAAACCAGGTAACAACATTGTCTTTGTTTGTAAAACTCATTATATAAATTGTATTTTAGAAAAAAAAACTTGGTTTTAATTCTACAAGTGGTAATCCAACTTATACTCATAGTTCCCTTTCTAATGAAGAAATTCTTCAAAATCATATGTCAGTTTTGAATATTTTTAATATCCCAAAGAACCAAAATGAATTTGAACTACTATATACTGGATTCCGAAACTTTATAAGAATTAATCCTTACATACAAAGATACATTGTGGGTTCCAGTAAATGTTCAACCAAGTCTCTTTCTTTACTCCTCACTAAGATATTAACAGTAGTGAAGGAGAATCTTCAAAAGCACTGTGCAACAATATATTCAAGAAGTGGTGTAAATCAGATGTGAATACTTATAAATTCCAAGGAACTTTTTGACAATTTGAAATCACAAGATTTTACCAAAATCAACAGCTTAAAAACTTTTCAAGTTTATAAAAACCGTTTCCCACGATAAATTAAGTCCAGGCTTTTCGATATCATTGATCGCTGCTTTTTCAATAAAAATGGAACTCGAAAATTTACTTACCTTGTCATTGATCATTTGCAAAATTACTATTACTTTGTTTAAAAGCATTACAAGTACTCTGAAGTCGACATCAAAAAGATGATTGCGTTTCTGATTGACAATATCTGTGTTATGTTTGGAGATCAGGTCTTCCAACAATCTATTAGAAATCTCATGGGTACCAATTGCGCCCTGTTATCAGCAGACCTATTGTTTTATTCACATGAAGCAGAATTTGTGCAAACTTTTATGCGTGAAAAGAAGAAAACACTTGTTGTGGCCTTTAACTTGACATTTAGATATATGGACGACGTACTGTCAATTAACAATGATAATTTCCATTCCTATGTCGATACGATATATCCTGGTGAGCTTGAGATAAAAGATACCACAGTGTCTGACACATGTGTTTCATACTTGAATATTTGCTTGAAAAAGACATTAATTGTAATCTAGCAGCCAAGCTGTACGATAAACGTGATGACTTTAACTTTACTATCGTCAACTTCCCTTACTTATGCAGCAATATACCTTCGTCACCCGCATACGGAGTGTACATATCTCAGTTGATTCGATACGCAAGAGCATACTTTACGTATGAACAATTTCTAAACGAGGTAAATTATTGACAAACAAGTTGACGAAACAAGAATTTCAACAGTCTCGATCGTTTAAAGTCATCATTTCGTAAGTTCTAAGGTCCATACAATGACCTTGTCAGCTAATACAATTTATCATTGAGTCAAATGCTGACTGGCGCTTTTCATACTAATTGTTAGTCCAATATTTATACACTGAATTGTCGACGGGTTTTCCCGTTAATTCCCGATCATGACAAGGAGCACACGGCGGGTGTGACCGGTCGGCAGTGGATGCTCACTCCTCCATGGCACCTGATCCCACTTCCGATGTTTTGGAGGTCCGTATTTGCTCAGCTCCTATTTTGTATTGTTTTATGGACCTTTGATCTTGAATACTGTTCGTTATCTCCAGATGTTTCATGATAAACGTGATGACATAGCTTTTCAATCATCTACTTCGTTTACTTATGCAGCAATAAACCTTCATCATTTGCATTCACGGGGTTTATACTTCTTAGTAGATTGGATACGCTAGAGCATACTCTACGTATGAACAATTTTTTAAACGTGATAAATTTTTTATTGACACATTGCTGAGAAAAAGAATATCAGCAGTCTCGTTTAAAGTCATCATTTCGAACATTCTATTGTTGATACTATGACCTTGCAATTGTCAGCAAATACAATTTATCATTAAGTCAAATGCTGACTTATGTTTTTCATACTAATTCTTAGGCCATTATACATACTGAATTGTCAACGGATTTTCCCCACATTTCATTATCATGACAAGGAGCACACGGCGGGTGTGACCGGTCGGCAGGGGATGCTCACTCCCCCATGACACCTGAACCCACATATGGATTTCGGAGGTCCGTGTTTTCTCTGCTTCAAAATTTGTATTGTGTTATGGACTTTTGATCCTGAGTACTGTTCGTTATTCCATATATTTCATTTCAACCTCACCAAAAGATACCAAACGACAGACCTTTTCAGTGTTTCACTAAAACATCTTATTCTATTACTGATTATCTTATCTTTGTGTATACATTAAGTATCCTTGTCTGTCTATCTGTCTAGCTGTACAACTGTCTGTATGTTCGTTTTCTCTTTATGATAACTTTATCTTGAGTATACATTAAGTGCCCACGTATGGGCAGCGGAAAGGGCAAAAATTACCATAATGAGAAAACAAACAATTATTTTAATTTCAATGACCATAAAAACTTAACAAATGATATACGATGCATAATCAACAGACCTTTTCGCAGAACAAATATACATTAAAGCAAAACCAACGACCACGTACGTAATAAACATATATGAATGCAAAACCAACGATCATCTTTGCAGAACAAACGTACATAAATACACGACAAACGAAAAAAACTTAACAAACGTGCACGCGGTAAATCTAGTCTTGCCGACACCGGGCTCCCGACGGTCCCGGATTTTTTTTTTCTTTTTTTTGCGATTTCTTTTTTTTTCTGTGCACAGAAACTCTGCAAACTTCTCCGGCACATTTTCTTTTTAAATGAATTCAATGATATGTAAAAACTGAATCAGCAGTATCACCTGCCAAAAAGCGGTAAATGTAGTACTCCGTTATAAAACGGACATCGACACATGTGTGTGAGGGAGGGTGTGGGTATGTTTGTGTGTGTGTGGGGGGGGTGTTAGGTTCAACTTCTTTCAGTACCAATTTTTTCCTAATATACATGTACTACATAACCCATTTTTGACCTTACTCTTAAATTTGGGAAAAGTTGCTGCGTTCCTGTCATATGATATGTCACTGTAATTAAAAGTTATCAAAATAGATTCTTGTAATATTTAAAGAATTGGGGAAAACCAATTTATGTAACAACAACGAAAAAAAAAATGACAAAACGGCCTTCAGGAGAATGAGATTTTTTTCATTTTATGTAAATTCTTTTCTTTCATTTGCATTTTCTAAGATAAATTAGCTAAAAAAAGGGAAAAAATAAAAGGGTTGTATATGTAATGTTGTATATCCTGGGAACATAAACATGATGTCAGTTCGTTAATCTTTCTGTGATTATCTTACCTTTGAGTACACATTTAGCGTCTCTGTCTCTCTGCCTGTCCGTTTAGTCTGTGATTGCCTTATCTCTGTGTTTACACTAAGTTCTGCTGTGTGTCTGTCTGTTATTACCCTACCTTTGTGTAAACATTAAGCGTTCCTGTCTGTCTACCAAACATATGGTAGTAGAACCCTACACACAAGTGCCTTAGACTCTGGTAGAATGGGGAGTATATCACTGCCTTGTTGTTGTTTAGCCGACCTGAGGCCTCGATAAACAGGAAATGTCCTAAAATATAAATGATGCAATGTACTTAAAACATAATTTAATGTCAGAGAAGTTTATAAATGGTGTTTATGAGTTGAACGTTTATATTTTAGAATATATTATCACTTATTTGATTAGGTAACTTTATTGTGAAATCGGCTGTATACTGATTCAATAAGAGGAAACATTTGCTTTCTTTGTTGAATTATACTTATGCCAAACTATTTGATTAATACAATTATATCTACTTTACTACAAGTTTAATTAGTATGATAGATTTCTTTTTATTTACCAATCTGCCAGTTGAGATGCCTGTATGAAGTCATACGGAATATGACAAAAATATATAAACCTTGTCACTATTCAAAAGACAGCAGTTTGACTTTTATGAGAAATGAAATAGGACATATATTCAGTGGATGTAAACATTATACATATGAGGTAAGAAAGATATGCCAGATATATATAAAATACATGGTTACTGTCTTGAAATATAAGCGATATTTGGGCGAGGGTAAGAAAACGTGATAGAGGGCGAGGCTTGCCGAGCCTTCTTACGTTTTCGACCCGAGCCCAAATATCGCCTATATTTCAAGAGAGTTATCATGTATTTTGTTTATTCTGCAACAAAATTTTACATTTGAACGTCCAAAACAAGCTAATTCCGACAGATTTAAGCACATCTCTGCAGTTGAAACTATGACGCCATGGCGTAAACATTGCAATATACATGACGTCACAATGCTTTTGGAACGTCGGAATACATGCACGAGGCTTTATTAGGGCAGTGACTGGATAAAGCTTTGGTTTATTAGGTTACCTTTATTAGGTCAATGCAAGGGGTAGTTGCAGAATAAAAAAATTTCAAAAGGCTGTTTTCTGAAAGTTTTATACATAATTATATAACAAAATACCATGTATTTCTAATTCCAAGGCCATATACATACTGTACATAAAAAAGCTCATTTCTTCGTTTGAATTATAAATCATCATAATTATTAACATATTGTATGAAAATCAACAACTTTCATAATTTACCTAAATGTTCCACGGACAATTCAGTCATTGTGTCTTCGAATAAAGAATATTTTCTTAAAGATATACAAAGAGTTTTTGTGAATGAATTGAAAGCAGTTTATCATTTTCCAGATGCTATTGCAACGTTAGACATCAAAGTTGCATGTGAACGCAAGATTTATAAACATAATTTCTGTCATGAAGTGGGCTCTTGAGATTGAAATGTAACAGAGTTCTTTATTTCACTAGAAGTCTAATTAGATTTACAACTCAGTGGTAATCGACAGTAGCAATATATCACAGAGATGCCATCAGGTGAAGCCATTCTAACTGTATTTCGGTCAGCAAATGAGATTTAATTTGCCAAAAATTACAAGCTTTCATGCATCAGTGGTGAAAAATGGTTTCAAATTTATTTTCTTTAGTTCATCAATATCAATGAAGATATTTAACAAGAAATCAGGGTGCTACGAAAAAATAAATCCTTACCTGCATCTTTGACCTGGCCACATGTGTGGTCCCCTATAGGTCCGGTGCCAGTGGAGGGAGTTTCTCCTTTTGTTCTAATCCAATCAAAATCATCTGTCTTCTCTTCTTGTGTAAATCCACACATATCGTTTTCAAACCCACAAAAGGACTGCGTCTTGGCTGAAAAAATCCCACATTTTGGTTTTGAATGTATTTTGAATTTATGAATAATCATATAAAAAGATTTCAATAATAATTACGTGTACATATTTTCATCACAGATACTTTACTCCTAACGTTAAGGTATAAGCAACATATTTAGGTATTCTTTACAAAAACTATAAATAACTATCTCCCCCATTTTGGCTTTTATCTCAATTCCTTTGAACTAACAGTGACCAAATAAGGACGCAATTATAAAGTTCACAGACATAGTGATACTAGATGAAAGTATGTTAGACTTCATAAAAAATTACTAGTAGTAAGAAATAAATCACAAACAGCGCTTGTAAAGAGCAAGGTCTATAGATATCATTTTCTCTTTATTAATATACAAGACTTCAGAAGCCTCTATATTGGGAGTCTTCATCAGGTAAATACAACAGCGCCGAGTGATCCTTTATGAAAGCGAAGCTTCTAAGTAAGGTCCTGTAGTGCAATTTTGCAAAGTTCTTCTTTTGAAGTCATTAATGAAATGTATGGAGATAACGAACAAAATTCAAGCTCAAAAGTCCAGTAAACAATACAAATTAGGAAAATAGCAAACACGGACTTCCGAAACATTAGAGATGGGATCAGGAGCCATGGAGGAATACCAACCGTCTCACCCGTTGTATGCTCCTTGTCATGATCGGGAAATGACGGAAAAAATCGTCGTAAATCCAGTGTGTAGATAATGGACTAACAATTAGTATGAAACACGTCAGTCAGCGCTTGACTCAATGATAACTGCATTTGCTGACAAGGTCATTGTATCGACCATAGAACTTACGAAATGCATGATGTCTTTAAACAAGACCACTGATATTCTTGTTTCATCAACTTGTTTGTCAATATTTTACCTTATTTTAGAAATTGTGCATATGTAGACATGTTCTTGCGTATTGAATCAACTGAGAGATATTAACTCCGTATGAAGGTGGTGAAGGTATATTGCTGCATACGTAAGGAAAATTGACGATTGAAAAGTTAAAGTCATCACTGCACATTTATCAAAGAGTTCGGTTGTTAGATTACCATTAACGTCTTTTTCAAGTAAAATATCCAAAAATGAAACAGATGTGTCAGACTCTGTGGTATCTTTTATCTCAAGCTCACCGGGATATATCGTATCGAGATAATGGAAATAACCATTATTACTTGACAGTACGTCGTCGATATATCTAAATGTCGAATTAAAAGCCACAGCAAGTGTTTTCTTCTTTTCAGATATAAAATTTTGGACAAATTTCGCTCCATATGAATACAAAAATAGGTCTGCTAATTACGGGACGCAGTTGGTACCCCATGGGAATTCCAATAGATTGTTGGAATACTTGGTCTCCAAAAACCACATAGATGTTGTCAATCAGAAACTCCTTTTGATGTCAACTTCAGAGTACTTGTGTGAGAAATCGGAATATTTTTAGCAAAATGATTTTGCTAATGACCAATGGCAAAGTAAGTAAATTTAAGAGTTCCATTTTTACTGAAAAAGCAGCTGACACAATAAGCCTAAATTTTAATTTATTGTGGGGAATGGTTGTGTATAAAGTTGAAAAGTCATAAGCTGTTTATTTTAGTAAAATCTTGTGATTTCAAATTTCAAAAGCTCCTTGGAATTTTTAAGTAGCCACATCTGATTTACAGCACTTATCGAAAATATTGTTGCACAGTACTCTTGAAATTTTTCCGTCAGTACTGTTAATATCTTAGTGAGGAGGAAAGAAAAAGGTTTAGCTGAACATTTACTTGAACCCGCTATGTATCTTTGTTTGTAAGGATTTTTATGAAGTTTCTGAATCCAATGTAGATATGGTAATTCAAATTCATTTTTGTTGTTTGGGATATTTAAGATATTCAAAACTGACATATTATTTCGATATACTAGTATATATATATTAAACTTACGGTAAACACGTTGGTTTGTCTACGGAGTTTGGGGGCGTGGCGGTATCGAAGATCGATTGGTGAAAGTTTTCGCGGTTCTGCAGGTGAAATTCATGTTAGGCATGTAGCTACGTCGTATTGTGTCGTATGAAGTTTTTTTTAAAAGTCATTCAAAGTTTCGCTGCCTTAAGTGCAACGGACACCCTTCCCTCCTTCTTAAGTACATGTATTTGTATGGTTTCTTTTTATGTGTTCTAAATGACAATGTAGGTGATCTTGTAAAAAAAAAATTCCCGCGAGGCGGATTTGAACCACCGACCTAAGGATGACAGTCTTATACCACTACAGTCCTCCGCTCTACCAGCTGAGCTATCACGGGTTATAATAATTATAACGTTAAGATATACATGTGCTTAGAAATGAATCCTATTTTTCTTTGAAGATATTTTCTAAAAACAAGGAACAATCTAATAATAGTTTATTTAATTTAGATTAATGTTTTTGATTAATAATTGATTACGTGGATGTATTTTCATTTAGCATACAACAAAACCTTGTTATGGAGAACACGCGCTCATTGAGAAGAAGGTATGCTGCAGTAATGTACTCGTATCCCTCTTCGATTTTGTTTTTAGAAAACATAAGGTTGAGAAAAGTCCAAGAGTGCAACATTATTGCATAAAACAGAGAATTCCATGCATTGTGACTTGAAAAAAATCTTACAAATATACGCTTATATGGAATCAAAACAGTCAAATTTCGAATCCTGTATGTAAACCTTTTCATCTTATGTATATGTTAACTTATCCAGATGAAATAAAGTTGAAACTTAATTAATCTCCCATCATTCAAACCGTTATAAGAGTATTATTATCATAAATGGTCTTACAAAATAAGTGTTGATTGAAATTAAATATGGAGATGACGAACAGTTTTTGAGCTAAAAGTTCATCTAAACAACACAGATCGCAAGCAGAGCAAACACGGACCTCTAAAAACACTCACATACGGAATTAGATGTCATAGAGGAGTACACATGCCATTTCTTCTTGTCGGTAAACGGAAATGTTCATAGAAATTTTTGGGTGTAATTAAATAATGATCTAACAATGAAAAAGGTCAATATTTGTTCTATTGCTGTATGTATATATGGCAAGGTCATTGTATCGATCACAGAACTAAGGGACAGATCGATGAATTCGAACGAGATTTTTGATATCCTTTTTGCATCGACTTATTGGTGAATAGCCTGTAAAGTGAACGCAGGTAGAACATACTCTAAAAATCGAATCAGCTGGGAAAGATAAACATAATATGCAAATCATAAGGGTTAAGTGCTGTGGAGTTGCATTTCTCAAATACAGTACTAGTGCTTCTGATGAAGAAGGTGACATTTGCATGTCAAGGAGAGAAATGTTGCTCACTACAGTTAACTTAAACAGTTACATTTTCTTTAGGGACACGTTCATAGTCCCTGATTTCATCAGAAGAAATCTTTCGGCAAAAATGTCCACGTGCCTCTAACTTTACCAGAAGTACACATGCACTTTCGTGTACTAATGCTCTCAATGCTGCTGACGTTACAAGAAGCTCTTTTCTAAATAAGTGCCGCTCAGTGTCACCGACATTACCAAAAGCATTGTCATGGATAGAGTTTTCCCAAACGATTGAGTTTACCAAAACAGTTTTGAAGGGAAATGTACAAAAATAACTGAATTCCGCCAACCCACCCCTGTTCATACTCGTTTAACCCGGTCTTTTCTTTCACATGTACGCACTGTCGTCCTTCGTTTAGTTCTTCAATTATTTTGTTTACCACATTTTCACTCTATATATTATGACTAGATGGTATAATTTTTTTTTGACAAAAATATTTTTCTTTATAATCATTTTTTACTATTTGCGCAATATTTTACAAAAAAATGAAATGTCCCTGCAGGAAAAAGTACATTCTTGACCCGAATTCCTCATCTCCCTTTAAATTGATTATTTTTTACAAATAAATTCAAAATGCAAGGATAAAATCAGTACATCTGCAACATTCATAGAAGTCTTGGTTTTTTACTTCTTTGATGTATTCATGAAGTATAATTATAGACCATGCATAAGTTCTACTATAACTTATCACGTTTAATAATGATCAATGTAGATAGATGAAAAATGTGTGAGAAAACCCCAGTTCTCCTCTCCAGAAAAAATACCGAGCACGCAGAATAAGTTCGACGTAACAAGACGTACTTTTCGTAGGTCAGACATTAATGATGAAGGGGGATTGAACTACATCTCTGATGTAATCTATGTTACACTCTAACATGTCTGACTGTTTATCAAAATCTTTCCCAGACATATGGGGAAAAAGACAGTTTCATTGAAATATTTTTCAGTTAGCAGATCTAGGTATGTGACTTTAACTGTAACCTTTCAGAGGTATACGGTGTTATCTATTATCATAAAACATTTGAGATATATCTTAAAAGTGACAATCATTGTTCTCTATTGTTGATGCCCTGTAAAGTATTTGATGACCTCAATAGTTCAAGAATGTTTAAAAACTTGGTTATAAAAAGAAATGATTGAAAAATATACAAGGATCTAAGGAATCGAAATAATTTGACTTTCAGTTTCCTTTATAGTGAGAAAATATTGAAGTTTCAAATGATATATTTTGTTCTAAAAAAGAAAAGATGCATAGACTAGTACTTAAGGTTAAAGAAGTCCATAGCAGGACAAATCTATCCCCAATAAAGCCACCATTGCTTGTAATCATATGTTATAACATTTTCTGACTTAGTAGATTCAGACGACATGATATTTCTTTACGGTGAGAAGTCTATCAACTTTCAATATCCTGAAGATTTTGTATGTTCAAGGACCAACAGAAATTCAAGTGTTTTATTTTTAAATTATTTCAGGCAATATATTTTTTGCACAAAAGAAGATGGTATGTTGCTAGGCATTTATGCAAGATTCCAATATCATTCCTTATATAATACTCTTGGACATCGCTTGAATAGCTGGTCCAACAAATTTTGGCTGATATTTTCAGACATTGTTGAAATGATTTAAAAGTCAAAGGAGAATTCAAATTTTTTTTTATTTTGGATGATATATGGTAATATTATTAGAAGTGGGATCGGATTACCATATGAAAATAAGGACACAGTGGTCAATAGGTAAGCCTTCGGTGTGCTTTTTGGATGATATAGGGCAAATTTTTTGAAAATGATGGAGTACATATCCAATGTTTGAATAATGTGCCTAAAATAAATTGAAAATACATAGGGATTCAATGTTTAAATAATCAAATGTTAAATTATTTAACATTTGAAGAAAATGTCAATATATCAAAATAGAACTTGCAAAATGACCACTTTAAATGAGACTTTTGATATCCTAAACTCATCAACTTGTCTGTCAAATTTCTTGACTCGTTTTAAAAATTGTTAGAGTTTGCCTTTGCGGATGGAATCAACTGAGAGATATAAATCCTGCAGATGATAAGGGCTTTGCTTCATAAATAAGGAATGCTGTCGATTGAAAAGCTAATATTTAAGTCATTTTGTTTTTGATATTATTTTTTGTTAGCTGCATGGGCCTTATCACTTATAGTCAGCAAAACATCTAAATATGAAACAGATGTGATAGATGGTGTCCTTTTTCAAATTCACTGAGATAATTGAGTCAACATATAAAAAAACATAAGGGAACAATACGTCATGGATATATCATAATGTCAACTTGAAGACCACAGCAAGTGTAAAAATGCAAAGTTAAATTCTTCTTCTCTTATATAATTTCTGTTTGATACAAATGCAAAAAGGTATGTCTGTATACGTAAATCTTTTATTTATTCATTTTTATATAGATTTCTCAATAAGTATAAGAGAAAACGGTTGTACATCGTAGAATACCGGTATATAAGTGATCTAAAAATAAATAAGGAATGCTGTTGTTTGAAACTTAAAGAAAGGAAACAACTTATTTTACTCTTTTTTCTGACTGTTATGATCAAAATTAAAAAAATATATATTATTTGTTAAAAAAATCTGTTTTCATACAACATTTGAAAACACCGTCATTAATCGATCTCATCAAACTCTGCAAGGAACATTAAGAAGAAGTTCTAAGGTTTATTAAGTTCAACACGGTCATAATACTCAACATGTGTTCTATTTAAGTAATGAACGTATGTGTACGTGTATGCTTAAAAAAATAATGTACTCAAGAGGTGAAAGGAACACGATAATTCACATAAGCCTCTATTTCAAAAATTATTTCACACCTTCAATTTGATTTTTATCTTACATTAGGTCATAACGTATCTTTCAACTTTTTAAAACCGTATATATAACAATAATAAAAAAAATAAACGAGTTTGCTAGTTGAACTTTTGTTTGCTTCGGGAAATTCCAAAAAGAAATGTGTAGAAAAATGATTTCATTAAATGCGCTCTGCGTCTGTGACAATTAGTATACAAAAGCGCTGTATACATTTATTTAGGTCTAGGCCCACGTGATTTTCAAGAAACATGCGAAACCGAAAAGGTGAGTAAAATCGTCTAAATTGTATTGTAAAAGTAAATAAATCAGCACACTTAAAATTAAGTGCAATCTTCCACATCAACCGATAACGGAATGTTAAATCAACACACTTAGTTCCAATCTTGATAATATATTTGATTTTTTCATGTATAATCATGCGTGTACCTTAATTAGCGGACAAGAAGCAACGCGAAAAGCACTGCTTAGACAAATACTTTTAAAGTAATTTATTCAGAGTTTACTTCAACTGGACTTGTTGTATAATAATATGTCATCCATACTCTTTTTGCAAAAAAAAAAAAAAAAAAAGATGAAGACCCGAATGCCAATTTATTTAACCAATAATGAAATACATGTGTATGGAATGAAATATATGGAGATAACGAATAGTATTCCAGTTCAAAAGTCTATTTAACAATACAGAATAGGAGCAGAGCAAACACAGACCTCTAAAACATCAGAGGTGGGATCGGGTGTCATGGAGGATTGAGCATCCCCTGCCGACCGGTCACAACTAACGTACGTTCCTTGTCATATTTACTTGGGAAATATCGAAAAATCTGTCGACAACTCAGTGCAAAAACAATGACCTGACAATAAGTATGAAAACGTCAGTCAGCATTTGACTTCATGGTAGATTGTATTATTGAAAAGGTCATTGTATCGACCATAGAACTTACGAAATATAAAGAGTACAAAATTGAGGACCAGGCAAAAAAAAAATAATCTCTAGATAAACTAGAGGTAGAAGCAGATTCTTCGGACTTTTAGCGGTCATATCCACTATTAATCCCCCCTTTTTTTTTTTAAAGGTAAATATAAGTAATAGTAGTTTGAGAATAATAATAGGTTAACATATCAAAATTAAACATTATTTTACAAATATGATAAAGAAGAGCAAACGGGTATATTCTTGTTCAATGAATTCAATATCATAATCTCTATAAAGTGTTGTATTTCAAAAAACACATAATAACATTCCTAACGAGTATGATATATATACACGGACCTTGAAAGCATGAAGAGTTGGATAATATTATACTCAAAATAATGTTAAGACATGAACTGTGGGTACAAAGTATAGCATTACGAACGCCTCTCCAATCTTCATGCTTAATTGAAGACGTATTGTAACAGTACAATAATTATGTCATTAATTGTTATAACTTTGATGGTGTTGACTAGCAGAAAGAATGCGATGTAATGTTGTCTATGATAGCATTACACAGGCATTATTATAGATATCGTAGATAACAAACAAATGATACTATAGTATTGGCTGAGTTTAGTAAAATCAACTAGCATTATTTTTGACATTCTTCCAAAATTATATAATACACAGGGCAAACTGGTTTATAATCCATATCTCATGAATTTAAATTTTATGAATGCAGAACAGCATGAAATTATGAGGTTTTGGGAACATTTGTATACTATGTAATGTAATATGTGCTACATCTTACAAGATGAATAAAACCATCATTAAATCAGGTATGCAGTGTCTAACCAAATATCAGATTCTCCTCCTATGCAGTGCGTTAATGTGTATGTCAAGATTAAGATAATATATGGTTGAATAAGTACAATTTACAGAATGATATTTTTAAATGCTCAAATTCATGTATATATTACACACTTTAACAAAGAAGAAATAAAAAACAAACAAATAAGGTTTATATTATTAAAAAATACTTTTATACACTATGATTTAAACAAATTTTCTCATAAAAGTTGACGTGGGGAAAAAAAACCTTTTAAACAGAGCTTAAGAGTCCATTTTTTTGTTCAAAGTATCTTATATTTGATTAATGTATTAGTTATTTCATAAATTTACAATAAGATAAATCATTAAAACTAATACTTCATCAAATCAATCGTATAGTCGTTATCTTGTATTAAGCATTAACATGACTTACATCGGCCCACGCTATACCCCCGGGAACAATCTTTGATGTATTAAATTCAAAACTTCAAACTATTTTATTTCTTAACAGCAGGAAGGCTATATTCTCAGAAATCGGACATTAGCCCTGAAATTCCTAAAATATCCAAGACATCATCTTGAAAATCTAGAAAAATGAACGCGTACTCTCTGCAGCAGAGTTAATGCATACTTAAGCAGGTAAAACCTAAACGAAATTATAGCAGTAATGCAGAGTTATAAAACTTGGATTAATTTCTTTTTATCATAAGCTAACAAACTGGGTCAATTTTTTAAGTGTTCTAGTTACCATGTTCTATAAAACATATCATAGAACTAAATAAAATTCGTATCGACATTCCATGCTGATTTTGAGCGAAAGCAATGACCCCCCGCTTTAATTCTACTAAAATTCAATCATCATAAATTCATTTAAATAGAAAACTAGAATCTAGCCCAGTTTTACAAAATCCCAGTTGTTTATATACAAAACTTTAGTTCATATTCTTAAGTGTATTTGTAGGTTACAATGTTTTGATAAAATGAGAGCACCCAGGTAGATTGTATAGGCTAAATGATCTACATGCTTCTTGTAACTGTTTTGTCAAGAGGGTTTACGTAATGATTGGAATTTTCTAATCAACTTCAACTTACAGAGATATACAACAGACAAGCTTGTCGAATCGGGGATATTTGTACAAAGAATGGAAGCACAGAACCCATCATGAAGAATAATAACAGAAGTTTCGAGAGTTTTTTTTACATTCATGATTTAAACACCCATCTGTGAAAGCTGCTGAAATCTTTTATGATCCGCAGTTAAACAAAAAATGTAGAAATTTATTTTTTTACTGAGTGGAAAAACAGGTGGTAGATTTTTTTAAGTGGTTGTCTGCTTCTGATAATATTTACTGTTGTCAACACAAAGTTTAATCGCCTCTAACAAGAAAAGAAAAGGGAAGTAGTTCTTGTTATAGAGAAATGTTTATTTACTTAAATTTCAGGGCCCTTTTCACAAATTTGTATTGTTTGTAGATTTTCTTAATTAGATAAATAAGTGACTACTCTTCACCTTTTTCTTAAAATTGAATCGGTCGAATTATGAATTATTAAAAAAAATTGTATACCTAATGTTGAAGTATTCTTCTTTAACTTAAAAATCAAGAAATTTCTACAAATTATCAATTGAATTTAATTAAAACTTTCTTAGTGAGTGTTATTTGTGATGAGCATATGTTTCGTAATTAACTCCTTCTGAAACAAAGATTTTCACTCCCAAATATAGTTATCTGTCCATGCATTCATTTGCATGTCGAAATATGACAAAAAGACAATTTGGGTTGCATAACTTACCAGTGATACATTCCATAAAGTCTATATGGGCTCGGTCTAATTCAGCCTTGGTATCATTGTATTTTCCATCTAACTTTGTATAATTAGTCTTCAGACTTTTGAAGGCTTTCAGGGAATTGTTCAGTTTCCATTGATACAGGCCCAATTCTTCCTTTAGATTGGACTCGGACCTGACTAAATGATACAATTGTTTCTCTACTTGCAGAAGCTTAGCATCTGTTATATTGACTTTCTCTAAAGCGTGGTTAAGCTGTTCAGTTTTATACTTTATTTGGCTTTTCAGCATGTATCTTTCTTGTTCCATTGAAGCCACTTTATGTTCGGCATCAATGACCTTTTCGCTGTTTATGAACAGTTCCTCGTGAGCCTGAGCTAAAGCATTGGACGTGTCATTCAGCCTAACCTCCATGTCCAATAGTTTCTTTGTCTTTGCCTGAATCTCATTTCTTAACTTAGTGAAATGGTTATGAAGAGAAGAAAGTAAGCCATGCTCAGTAGCATTAACACCGGGAAACAAATTCTCAATATTCACTGGTCTAATAGGTCCTTCTACGGAATTAGAGGTAATGGGAATCTGATTTGTAGGTAAAGAGGATCTCAACATTTTCTGGACAGAGGCCTCCAGCTCTCGTATTCTGTCTTCATGGTCAGTCTTAACCACGTTAAAGTCTTTTTGCATGTCTGCTGCCGTGTAAGAGTCCCTCTGTTCATTCTGAACTTGGCCAGATCTTTGTCTTGGTCCCCCACAGTTGTCATTCGATAGATACACGTTATAAGAGCACTTTCCATCATTTAGAACGCACTGATTCGTTGATATGACAGTAATTTTTATCAGAATGAAAATCACGCCACTTAAAATTCCCATCTTGCGCAATAATCCTCCAACCGTAAAATATGATGAAAAATTACCGTAAAAGTAATAAACAATCCCTGGGCATAAATATATTTTATGTTAGGTTGGATATTTTAAAAGCGCCTTATTGAACACCATCATTTCCAAATAGAATTAATCCATCAATGCCGACTTCGCTGATCCCCTCATTAACACGGAGTTAGATCACATGCCGAGACTTTTTTGCTTCTGATACGCTGGCAGCAAAGTTTCTACCCCCGAACTTCCCTCTCGTCTGCTCCTCAGAGTTGAAACTTCTGCCACCAATTGTACAGAAAAAATATTACCCAAAAGCCTGAATCTAAATCTGGGAGATGGACTGCTCCCCGAAGTATCCATTTTCAAATGCACAGTTATCCGATACGTCATAATTAAAGAGGTGTATGTTCAGTCAGGTGTGTATATTTTGAAATTTTAGCTTGACTTGTATTAAATAAAGATTTAACATTTACCCGAGAGTTGTTACATAAATAAAGGATATATAATAAACGTATATTTAAGTCAGTATACGATGCTCTAGATGGATGTCATCCCTCCACAAATGTGGAAAAATAAAGAAACCTTTGTTCGTTCGTATATTTTTGCCATTTTGATTACAGGGAATAATTTTTGTCTCTTTTAAACATTCTGTAATGGGTGGAAAATAACCGTTCTGTCTGTCAGGAGGGCTTCCTTAACAAATTGATCAAAAGAAATTATCGAATGATTAATCATACTAGGTTCTACATAAATCTTTTATACAATTCTATCTAAAATATTCCTTCTGTAGAAAAAAAAAACAGTTTAAAATGAGATATTGTAAAAGTTAGTGAATCAGGAATCAAAAATATATCATTATCAAAGTTAAAAGTTTCCCATCTGAACCAAACTAAGAATAGTAATGATTAAAAATTTCCAATAAACATTCGAATTTTCATAATTTGTTTAAGACAAATACAATAAACGTGTACTAAATAATACAGTAACCTAGTCAGACATGGTGATCCTTTGTAGAAACAATAAAGATTCTGTTTAAATGCAGATGCTTAATAATAATAATACTTTATTTAAAGAAGGTAACCTGATTAGTGCAAGCACTATTCTTCCCCAGGGCCTTCTGACAATTAACAATTTAAAGATATACATAGTTATACACATACAGACATATTATAAATATATACATAAATATACAAATACAATTAAACAGGAATCACAAATTATTCTGACATTGTTTTACATATTGTTTTACTTGTCTCTTGAAAGCATTAAGAGTTGGTGACATTTTTATGTGCACCGGTAAAGCATTCCATAATATGGTGCCAGAGTACTGGAATGAATTTTCAAAAAGTTTACATTTATGAACTGGCACACACAAATCAACATTGGATTCAGATCGAAGAGTATATTGGTTATTAATTTGAAATTTAATCATTTCATGTAAATAAGTAGGACAATAATTAAAGACGGATTTATATAACAATACATATTTATTTACAGTAAGCTGTTCATAAACAGTAAGCCAATCAAGTTTATTAAAAAGGGGTTTAGAGGGTGCATCAGGGGGAGCATCTAAAATATACCTTGCAGCACGTTTTTGAAGTTTATGAACTCTGTCAAGATTTGATCTGGACGTATTTCCCCAAATTGTTAGGCAGTAATCAGTGGTAGGCATAATGTATGCATTATAAAACAATTTACGTGTTTCGAGAGGCAGATATTTTTTAATTCTACGGAGTGCAGAAATTTTACGTGACAGAGTTTTACACACATGGTCGATATGTACATTGTATTGTAAAGAATTATCTAAATATACTCCCAGAATTTTTTCATATGTTACATTGTCTAATTTCTGGTTCGAAACGTATAAAGGAAAATCATGGTCTAAGAATTTTGATCTCTTTTGATGTGTCCCTATTAACATGCATTTAGTTTTTGAGGCATTAAGTATCATTTGATGAGTGCACCATTTTTCTATACAAGCAATATCCATTGATAATGAATTTACTATAGATTGGGAATCTTTGCCGGAAGCATGTAAAGTGGCATCATCGGCAAACAAATCTATGTTTGAATTTTTGATATAAAGTGGAAGATCATTAATGTACATTAAAAACAGAAGAGGACCTAGTATAGACCCCTGTGGAACTCCCGCTGTGACTTGCTGATAAGATGATTCTTTGTTAGACAGATGGACACTTTGAAGTCTGTCACTTAAATATGATCGAAACCAATGTAAAGTTATTTCATCAAAATTGTAACATTGTAGCTTTTTAAGAAGAATTTCATGATTTACTAAGTCAAATGCCTTACTGAAGTCGAGAAAGACAGTACCAACAAGTTTGCCTTGGTCCATTTCATATAACCATTTATCTGTAATTTTTGTAAGGGCTGTTTGACATGAATGCAATTCTCTGAAACCTGATTGAGATTCTATTAAAAGATCAAAGTCTGACAATAGTAATCGTACATATTTTGCCACATGTTTTTCTATAATTTTTGATAATGTGGGTAAAATAGAAATGGGCCTGTAGTTATTTGGATCTAGCTTGTTTCCCTTTTTATAAATAGGTGTAACTTTGGCAAGTTTAAAGCTTTTCGGGAAAATACCTGAAGTAATACTCGTATTTATTATATGGGTTACAGGTTTATGTATGATTTGTGCAGTAAGTTTTAATAAACGTGGACCGATGGTATCTACACCAGGGGCCCGTTTCATCAAAGGTCGTACGCCCAGTCGTAGTGCTACGCCGGTGTAAAGTCAGGACTAGCACGAGGAGTTGCGTTTCATTAAAGAGTGTATCGTTACACCTGACTAAATTTAGGCCAAAATTCTACGTCTACTCATGGGTAGGCGTAAGTTTGGGCGTAAAGTTTAAATTAAGTAATTTAACTAATTTTAAAACAAGTAAGCGAATTCTAAAGAAAAAGTACGGTTCTAAGAAGTCTTTTAAATACAAACATTGTATTATCACAGACTCCACATAAAAACAACAGTGAATTTAACGTTTCCTAGTTATTTATTTCTTAAGTTTGGCATTTAATGGCCACGGCTGGTTCAAATCAATTTATGAAAAATACACGTGTACAGTGGGTGCCGACCCAATTGGTTTTTGGCACACCTCCAATAATCAATCAATCAATCAATCAATAAATCAATATTAACTGTACACATGTCAAAGTTTTACAGGATAAGACTGACGTTTAGCTTCAAAGTTCCTGCAGTTGCGTCAGCCTTATGCATCAATCAATATTCATCAATCAATGTTCAATACGATCAATTAATGTTCAATTCAATCAATGAATGTTCAATTCGATCAATAATATTCAATTAGATCAATCAATGTTCAAACAATATTCAACAAATCAATATTCAGTTCATTCAGATCAATGTATTGTATGCTCATGTTAAGCCAATCAATATTCAAATAAATCAATCAATGTTCAATGTAAATTATGTACAAGTTCCTTGTATTCCATTCCAGAATTATCCACGCAATCATGTTCGAGTTGCGCCCTGTTAACAGCGGCGCAAGTCAAGATGATATGTGTTAAGCTAAATCCGCCAAACGTGCATAGATACTCATTAACTGTGCACGCCGCCACCAATGTGGGGGTAGCTTAACACCCTACTCAAATATCCAGCCGTGACCGCACCGATACATATCATATTGAATACACCTTATTTTGCGAGTTTATAATAGTTGAGAGTCCACTTTTAAAATTTTCAAGGAACAGCTTATTACCAGGCGTAGAGAGGTGTACCCCGTCGGGGCGGTAATTGTCGGGACTATGATGGATATTTGACTGCTTAATGTACCCTCCATTGTGATGATATAAAATATGTTTTGCAATTGCGCTATTTACTCGCGCCCTACTTTTTTCGATATCGGGTCTCCCTTAACATTTCCAGGCATTTGAAAATATTTCTCCAATAAAGCAGCACTCAAATTAAGACGTGTATCTTTGAGGGTAGTTAATAATTGACTGCTCCCATGCTCTGCGCGTATATTGCGCGCGCATCATACCGCGTGGGGCGCTGTGATAAATGGATTTATATCGTATTCACTGCATAAATCCGATTATTTAAATATACATACTATGAAGGGGGGGGGGGGGGGTTACAACGGTGTGTTCCCGTTTTGCACACATTTGATAATTAGGTATAGAACAATAGGTGTGAAGTGTGTTTTGATAGCAATTATAGTCTGATTTCTGGTTTGGATTTACCTGTGAATACCTGATTTAGCTTAATGTATATTCATTAGACACCCATTCTCAATATAAGGGCACAAATGCCTCTCTGATTTTTTTTAAAAATGAAGTTCAAGATAACACTTTTTCTATCAATTACCTTTGAAAGAAAGTATCTGAAGATTTTGTTTCCAGATTTTTTTTCATCAAATATTAAAACATGGGTTAATGACAAGACGGTAAAGTAGAGGGTGATTTTATTCAGAAATGTAGCTTGAAATGTACGTTACTCTTTCTTCAATGTCCAAAAAGATATGTCCAAAAAAATGTAGTCATTAAAATCACAATTGGAATATCTCATCTTAACACCAGCACATCCTACCAACTATGTCAGCAACATATTTTCTCAGCATACGAACGTTCGTTTGATTTTTCCTTTCAAAAAACAAAGGTTACTTTTTGATCCAGATGTATAAAAACATTTTTTTTAAATATATGCTTTAAATTTTTCTCTCTGTTTTGTTTAGAGCGATCAGTTTGGAATCTTGTCATTTTCTATAGATACTGGAACTTAAAATGTTCATGTAGTAAAATTCTATTTTGTAGTTACTGTCTTTTTTAACATATATCCATGCCGATTTAGAAAACTACGTAAATGTAACGTACATTTCAAGATATATTTCTGTTTAATAAAAAGCTTAAAATTCATCTAAAAATTCATCGTTTTGTTTCAGTTTATTCCAAAAAAGATTCTCTATGTAATCACATTGTGTTATATGTCACAATCACCACTATAAAGACACGATTGCCTCAGAATATGAGTAGGTAACGTACATTTCAAGCTTGTAATGATATGGAAATTAGTAATAAGAAAATATTGAAAAAAAGCAATTATTGACATAAAAATCATTTCAATGAAGCGTTTTAACGCAGTAATATAAGAAATCATAATGTAACAAACGAGGTTATTGTCATCAACTACATGAATGTCACGTCACTTCGGTAACGTTCATTTCACATATTATTGGGGAGTCCCCTCCACCTCAGTTCATTACCATTCTTTTGTGCTGTTTCGCTGAAATTGACACCGGTCGTAGCCTAGTTACTTCTACCTGTGTGCAAGGGTACAGACAAAAAAAAATAAGAG